AAGATAAACGTCATAGTGAACTAGTAAAATGAATGCTAACAAGTGGTAATAAAATGAAAGGTAGATAGGGTTGAATTGCTTAGTGTGGATTAAGATGCTTATAGAATCATTAGACGTAGGGAAAGAGGATGCAAATGCTAAGTCTAGAGAGTGGCTTGTCTCCTTCCGTAAGTTATACTACTAGGACTTGTTTAGGCCTCACCTAAACTTTTCCACAAATACCTTGCCTACAACTCCTTCCCAGCCAAGCCCTGTAGGGTTCCTGAGCTAGGAAATGCCAAGGATGGGAGCTTGGATTGACCTAGCATAGGTCAATCCCTCAAACAACCATAGGAGGTGATCAAGTTCCTCTGATGCAAACAAATCAATCCCCAACAACAAGACATAGAAGCATTGCAATCAATCAATCCCTAATTCAAGAACTAAGTCACAAAAGCATCATCATCACACACTTTCACAATTCAAACCCTAGCTAAGCTAGCCTACAATAGCCATAGAAATCATAAAAGCATTCATAAATGTAAACCTAACCAAGCAAATAGAAATGAAAAGAGTAGAGATAATACCAAACAAATAGATTAGGAAATAAAAGAAGCCTTGCAAGATCTCTTGAATTTGGAGTTTGTCAATCTCTTCCTTCAATGAATCTCCCAAGAAATCCAAGCTTGAATCTATTAATATCTCTCTACAAATTGCTCTCTCTTCAATCTCATAATGCTAAGCTATCGAAGTATTCTAAAAACCTACCAAATGTCCTCTCCAAATCTGATCTAGAATTTCTTATTTATCCCCCCCTTTCAATCCCTTCCGCAGCTCTTCCACGCAGCCTTCAATGCCCGGGCAACGCTCGTTGTTTGGGAACTTATTCCGTCCAACGCGCGTCACAAAGCACGTTGTGATACGAGTTGAACATTCTGGAAATCAGCTCTATTTGTGCCTCTCCACAACGCACGCGGCAACGCGCTTTGTGACCTTCGTAGCTTGGTCTCGGCTTGTATTCTTTTCCCGCTTTCGCTCCGGTTGTGCCACTTTGCCTCGTTAGTTTAAGGCCGAAGCTTACTTAAACACATATAAAACACAAAGTGTGGTGTTAATTTACAGTAAAATGCAAAACATAGCTAATTGGCACGATATTGCTACACAAAGGATTGTTTTTAGCTTAGAATTCACCATAAATGAACCCAAAAAAAGTGTGTCTTTGACACTTATCACAAGTTTCAATCAAACCAATGATCACTTAAGTGTCAAAGATACACCTAACCCCAACTCAATGATAACTTAATTCTTCCAAAGGTCGATCAAGATAAGTGTCACGCAAACGGAGGGGGTGAAGTCCCTCATATCATGTAATAAATATGCTAGTCATGCACCCTTACTAAATCTACTCAAGGAATATACTAAGGAAGCCCCATACTTCTAAAAGATAGGATGAAAACTAAAAAAGGGATACCCTCTCACACCATTCATCAAGCATGCAATCCAAAATTGGTATTCACCTCTTATCTTGCAAAGGCTTATAGCCGAGCCACACTAGTGGGAACGATGTGTACAAACCAACCGACCCCGGCACGGAGCTTCGTGTTTTAACATCGGGGAAACTTTTTGTGGTCCCGACATAAGCGCTGGTTCTCACACACTTCCACCCTTATGCCAAAGACCGACTCCCCATGGAATAGATCTCTCTGTTTTAACCCGAGGAAGTCTTTTGTGATCCCGATATAAGAAATGACTCCCTCTTTTTGCTCTATTTTTTTCTCATCTCCTAAGACATCACCATTGGGACAACCGACTTCACGTAGAGTTCTACGCTTTTTCGAAGACAGTGCAATGGAATTGCCCCAAGTCCTAGCAAGATGGCTTACCTCTTTTCTTATCTCACGAGATGGCCTCAAATCATATGACTGCAAACTCAGGTATGTTACTAAATCTTAAAACAAATATGGTGGTCATTTTTAAATATTCATTGGTGATGGTTCTCACTTAAAAATAGATACTGTTGGGGATGTTCTAGTTTCTGATGGTAAGAATGATTTATTAGTCCGTGATGTCCATCATGTACCCCAACTAAGTCGTAATTTACTCTCTATTTGTCAGTTAATATGACAATATCCTTTTAAATTGTGAATTTACCGATAAGATTTTCTGCACTAAGGAACGAGCAACAAGTCGAGCCATAATAGTGGGTCAACGTAAAGGGGATCTTTTTTTTTTTTTTAATCCAAACCAAAGGAAGCACACTTTTCCAATAGACAAAAGTTAGAGAATGAAGAGCTGTGGCACCAACACCTTGGACATCCGCAAAAATCCACTGTTCAATTATTACGCACTAAGAATTTAATTCATGTTAGTTCAAATAACAAGCTGGACATTGTTTGTGAAAGTTGTCAATTAGACAATCTTAGCAAACTACCTTTTAATTCATCTTCTTCTTCCAGTATTGGTGTTTTTGACAAAATTCATTTTGACATTTAGGTACCAGCCCCTATATGTGATAGTCTTAAGTTAATTTTTTCTTTTTTTATTTAGTAATTTATTAACATTTATAATAATAAGGTTTCGAAAAAAGAGATCTATTTTTTTTTTTAAATTGAAATATCAAGTAAAAAATGTTGCTTTAAGCGTAACACTAATGTTTAGCCTTTTGAATTAAATACATAATGAAAATTGGTGGCCCATTGCAATTTTTGACATGATAAAATGACTAAAGTGATCACATTTATGTTGAACTTTTTTATTAAAATGCTTTTTTTTTTTTTTTAAAGGAGAGGAAGAAGAAGGAGAATGAGTGGTTAGAAAGAAGGGGGAGGAGGAGAATGAGAGGAAGAGGAAGCCAAGGGAGAGGAAAGAAGATTTATATATGGAGTTAATTCCTTTTGAGGTCCTTTGTCTTTGGTGTCAATTTCAAATTTAGTCCCAGACTATCATTTTTGTCATTTAACATCACAGACTATCATTTTTTGGACACTTTTAGTCCTTGTCATGACTTTTCATATTTTTAGTAACGGTTTTTTTTTTTTTTTTTTTTTTTTTTTTTTTTTTTTTTTTTTTTGTCTTTACACATTTTTATTTTGTTATTTTATTTCGGTTTCAACCGGTTTAATTAGTTTAGGGCTTTAGGTAACCTGTGATTTTTTTCTAACTATATTTTTCAAACCGGCTTTTCGTAAATTTCTAAACAATTAAAGCAGTTGAAATTGAAAAAATAACAAAAGAAAAATTTAAAGAGACAAAAATGCACTTACTAAAAATAAGAAAAGTCATGAGACGGACTAAAAGCGTCCAAAAAATAATAGTCTGGGATGTTAAATGACAAAAACGATAGTCTGTGACTAAATTTGAAATTGTCACCAAAGACAAGGGATCTTCAATGGAATTAACTCTTTATATATGATATTAGTTTTAAGAGTTAATTTCATTACGTGAGACCTTTCATTACTAATTTTACTTTCAAAGGAGCATGGAATCCTCAATAAAAAGAGTGTGCTCAAATTTTCATATTGTATAGTAAGTGAGTACGTAAATCATGCATTTCACATCTCTTTATGAATTGGAAAGAGATAATTTACTATATCATTTTGTGATAGTCTTATCTCTTAAGTTAATTATTTCTTTTTTTATTTAATAATTTAGTAACATTTATAATAATAAGGCTTTGAAAAAAGAGATATGTTTTTTTTTTTTAATCAAAATATCAAGTCAAAAATGTTGCTTTAACCGTAACACGAATGTTTAGCATTTTGGATTAAGAACATAATGTAATTTTTTAGCATTTTTTGACATGATAAAATGGCTAAAGTGATCAAATTTATGTTAAACTTTTTATTAAAATACCTTTTTTTTTTTTTTAAAAAAAAAAGGAGAAGAAGAGGAGGAGGAGAAGAGAAGGAGAATGAGGATGAGGAAAGAAGATTTATATATGATATTAGTTTTAAGAGTTAATTCTATTTTTGTCTTAAATTTATAGGTGACAGCCCATTTTTAGTCTATTTTTTTTATTTATTAGAACATGCACATTTAGTCCTAGTGTTATTGTTGCATGACCAATTTTTTTTTTTTTTTTCTAAAGGACTTAATTCATTAAATTAGAAGCAAGCTAAGACAATCAACAAGAAAATGAGGTGGAATGTCAAACCATTCCCTCAACCTAACTCAGAAACGGCTTCCCGAGCACCAATGTGGGCAGCACGATTCGCAGATCGCTTAACACAGGAGAAATTAACACCATGAACACTGGATGACAATTCCTTTACATCAACAATAACTAAACCAAAAGCAGAAATATAAGAGTCTGGATTTAAAGCAAAATAAACTAATGAAAGTCCGTTGGTTCATAAACTAAGCAAAATAAACTAATTGAAAGCAAAATAAACTATAAGAGTCTGGATTGCATCATAAATTTCTTTGGGTTCATTTAGAAGCGATAGAAAAATGGCTTCTGGCGCAAGAAAAATGACTTCTGAAAAATAAGTTATTTTAATTTCCAAAAACATGCATTTTCCTTTCTAATGTTTGATTGCATTATGTAAAATTGTCAATGAATTAATTAACTTAACATTTTAATAAAATAAAAAGAAGAGGGGAGGGGAGGGAGAGCTGAGAAAATAAAATTTGATGGGCATGAGGCAAGAGCTAGGTAGTTTGTTTGTATATAATAGTGGATATCCATAATTGTAGGCATTTGAATCTGAGTAGCGCAATAATGCAAGTATATATATGTGAAGAGGTAGGCAGGACGAAGAACATCGAACATCGAACATCGAACATCGAGAAATAAATAAAAAGAATTAGTCCATTGGAGAAGCTAGATATAAATAAAAGATCGTGTTTCTCCAATGGCGTCAATAACAGTAGCTTATTATTAGTTCTTGTATTATGTTGTTCGTTAGGCAACCAGCGACAGATGGGCCCCTTGGTCCGGCCGTGTCATCCCGTTCTTCCAATTCAAGCCATGGCATCCTTAATCTTGGTCGCTCCGCACTGATGCAGAATCCTAAGTGGTGCAGAAAAGATGATAGGGCCGTGAAGACTGCTGGGCTCATGGCGTTACCTATGATCTCGACACCGCTAAAGTTGTCAAGACACTCAAGGTATATATATAATACTGGCCTGGCCTGGGTACAATTTATTTCATTAATTAATTAATTATATTGTTTTTATGCATGTATGTTTAGTTGAGCCTGAATACATGGTGCTCGTCGGGAGGGCTGTCGAGCACCGGAAAATTGATAAGCACCGGAGGCTACGACAAAGGTTTTCGAGGAATTAGAATCCTGGAACCCTGCGATTTATGCGATTTCAAGGAAGATGTTGGACTTTCTGCAAACAGATGGTAAGCATTATTATTTCAAATTCTGATCTATAATAATTAATTTAATTTAATTTAATTTAATTTACTACGTTGAACTGAACTGGCAGGTATGCTTCTCAACAAGTCTTGGAAAATGGTGATTTTATCGTGGTGGGAGGAAGAAAATCTCACAACTATGAAATTGTCCCGCCAGATCAGCTTAAATTCCCGAACAAACAATTTCCTTCGGCTGCTCGAGGAAACCACCGACGGCTTTCTGAGAATAATTTGTATCCATTTGTGTACCTCCTCCCCGACGGCAATGTCTTCCTCTTCGCCAACGATCGCTCCATTATTTCAACCCTAGAACCGGAAAGACGATTCGGGAGCTTCCTAAGCTGCCAGGGGGTCCCGGAACTACCCGGCCTCGGGGCAATCCGCGCTTCTTCCTCTCAAACTCACCAAAGCGAATGATTTTGTGAAGGCGGAGGTTTTGGTTTGCGGCGGCAATACACACGAAGCCTTCAAGGTCACGGAGCATCCGCCGAGGCAATTTCCGCCGGCGTTAAAGGATTGCGGCAGGATTGTTGCGAATCAGGAAGGGGCCAAGTGGGAAATTGAGGAGATGCCGTCGGGGAGGGTTATGGGAGATATGTTGATTCTCCCCGATGGGAATGTCCTCATAATTAATGGCGCGAAAACCGGACCTCTGGTTGGGACGGGGCGGAGGAACCAAATTTCACTCCGGTGCTTTACAGCCCGGATAAACCGAAAGGGGAAAGGTTTACTGAGTTGACACCAACAAAAATTGCCAGAATGTACCATTCCACTTCTGCGGTTTTGCCCGACGCTAAGATCTTAGTAGCGGGAAGTAACACCCACGATTCCTACGATATGAAAGCCAAATACCCAACCGACATGCGCGTCGAGAAATTCTCGCCGCCGTACTTAGCCCCCGCACTGCAAAAGTTTCGGCCGCAGATCGTGGAGAAGCTTTCCCAAACGGAATTGGTTTATGGAAAGAATTTCAATATCCATTTCAAGCTAGATGATGCGGCGGACATGTCTAGTATTAAGGTTACCATGTATCCGCCGCCTTTCACCACTCACGGGTACTCTGAGGGCCAAAGGATGCTGATTTTGGGACTCACCTCTGTGGCCAAGGATACCATCTCCGCCGTGGCGCCGTCCTCTGGCAAGCTTGCACCACCAGGCTATTACTTGATCTTTGTTGTGCACCGTGGCGTACCCAGCAAGGGATTGTGGGTGCATATTAAATAGAACAGAATAGAAGATACGGGCTCGCTTGTTCAGTGTTGACAGTATTTGGGTGCAATTAGCCTTACATGCTGATTGAGTCATTGAATTATCGTGATTTGTATCTTTTTATAGTGCAGACGAACTACGGTGTGAGGGTGGGGGGTCCCTTAGAGTGGGGAATCCAACCTATAGAATAGAAGACGATGGGCATTGATTTTTTTTTTATTTTTGTAATCTTGTACAGAGTACCATATAATAATATATACAGTACAACATTTTCTATAAGAACTTATGAGCACAGTTCTTAAATTCTTTACATAAATTAATAAATTAAAGAAATTGAAGAGTGGGAGGAAGGTAGAGGTTTGCAGGTTTGAAACATCTCAAAATTATACGTACAATTGTTAAATTTTGTTTCTTATGAAATGGTAATTGTGATTTCTTTCCTCCTATGATAGATTATTAATGCAATCATGAGTGGGTGGAATACTGGAAAATATAGATGTATACTCATGATTATTGTTGTTGGGAGAAGGAGTTTGTGTCACCAACTCTAGTTCTCCCAAATGGAGTCCCAGCCCTTTGCTTTCTCTATCTTCCTCTCTTCTTTCAAACCTTTAATTTCCGGCGGCCTTTTCACCTTAGTGCATGTGAAAAATGATACTAATAAACAAAGTTATAAGTGTAATAACATATATTATCAAATGATAATGTAATTAAAATTTAAATGATCTTGGAGTGTAATTAAAATGATACTTGAACGTGCAAAAAATGAAACTAAACAATAGAACTCATACTATAACGTATATGCAAATGAAATGATACGACGTAGTTTTACTTCATGATGCACATTGCAATGTGGATTATGTGGACCATAGATAAACGTTCATTTTTAGTATAATGTTTGTTTTTAATATGCAAGTTCATTTTTAAATATTATACCAAATAGTGAACGACCTTCAACACAATAAATTAACATTCAATGTATTAAAAATGAACTTTTAGTATATTAAAAATGATCATTATGTAAGTGGATTTGAGTGGGTGATTGTAACACCCGATTTTACCACAACTCCGCTATTATCAAAAGAAATAGGAACCGGATTAAAGTGAATGGAGTTTGGACAGATGATGCTCCTATATGTGAGTATGTGACTGACTTTTTTTTCTTCTTTGTTTGGCAGGGTTCTAAGGGATAACGAGTTGGAGCTTTTGGAGATGGCAGACACTCGTAGAATCTCCCCCCAATCAAGGTAGTAGACAAAAATTCAATGACCCATGTGGGCAAGATCGCAAAAACTCGTAGAATCTCCCAATCAAGCTAGTAGAAAAAAATTCAATGACCCGTGTCGGCCAATAATATTGATGTCACATAACACAATTAAGATCCATATCGTAACATATCTATCTATGTTTTTTTTTTTTTCATATATATGCGATGGTGAACGACGGGAATTGAACCCGCGCATAGTGGATTCACAATCCACCGCCTTAATCCACTTGGCTACATCCGCCCCCAGACTATGTTCTTATTTTTTCATTTTTTTTTTCTAATTACTAATTAGAAATTATTGATGCAATTGGATTATCCATTATTGAAAACTTCTTTCTATACGACATTTTTAATCGTACTTACAGATGGTACAATATCCCCACATATCAAAATTT